GTATTAATTGCTGGAGTTTTCCTTTTAACCTCTCTTAAGGCGTCACTCCCTCCTGTGAGTTAAGAGTGGTCCCGAGAAAATAAATGTCCACGTATACTTGGCACATTACTGAAGCCTCTGGTTTCAACACCGGACTCAGGGGACCTGATAGAAACTCGGTTATAAGGGACATTTAAAAACGAACTGCATCAAACACTGCCAGGTTTGAAATTACATGAAACCACCCTCCCAACAGACCTTGAATGATAAAATGGGGTTTTTCCACTGGCAATGTCTAGATTTTGTGGTAGTAATAAAATAATTTTTAGTAGCTTTATTTATTAGACTAACGCCTATTCTGCTGACCTTTGGAAATATTATAGTTTAGCGACTGAGAGTCATAAAAACAGAGACATCCTTAATAGTCTTGTGCAGTTGATTAAGTGGAATTTTTTGATATTTAAATATTTTGAAAGAAGAAATTCAAGACCATTTGATGAAAAAAACACACAAAAAAATATGTAACCCTCAAAAAGATTACAGTTTCTAACTGTCTTATGTAAAAAAAAAAAAAAAAATCCTATGAATGGAGATAAAAAATCCATACAATCTGCACTGGCCTCTTCCAGAGTAACTGAGGCAGAAAACAACAGCTCGTACTCTGACCCACAAGTCCAAGAATCAGACTCAATAAACGGTCGTGTTTCTTTTCCTAGTAGGATAATTACCTAAAATACATTTTGAAAAGTCTGTAATTATTTATTTACATGGTATTTCGTGATAACCTGCAGAAAAGCAATGACAATCTTTGTGCCAAGCCTCACAATTGTTTTGAACATCACAAATGCCATGGGTGAGAAAATTCTTGCAATGATAAAGACAATGGTCTGGGTTATCATCAGGCTTACTTGTCCTTGTCTTGCCATACTTGACTCTTTGATAGAATCGGAGTGAATTTTCTGTATAGTGAATATTCTTTTAAGATCACACAAGATGAAATGAGATAATGTACGAAATCCCTCAGGGGTGAAGGATGCTACTTAAACACAGATTGTTGTGTGAGAAGAAGTATGGGAGGGGAGGGGAATCAACCCCTAGAGGCTTTCTCTCACACTGTAATGTCTCCAGACTGGTTGCTGATAAGCAGCATTTGATTTTTATAATTCACTTGAGTATGAACTAAGCTCATTACAATAAGGTAAGCCCTATTAGTCAATTACAGGACAATAACTTATTGTTTGGTCAAAAACCTATGACCGCTGCTATTGTTTTTGTTATAATATTGAAGGCTACTCCAGGTTAAGGAAGTATCTCCTGTATCTTTGTATTGTGCCTATGAACTTCAAGACATCTGGCTTTGCATCTTCACTTGCAGGTTGTAAGGAGTGTGGGTAACACACCTTCACCATCGTATTTTTATTTATATTTGGCTTCCATGAGGGTGACTGCAGGGGAAATGCGGTATAGCATCACTGTCATCACTGGAATTCATTAATTTCTAGTATAAATGTAGCTACACTTGAAAAATTACTCAGAAGGAAGGATACCAAAAAAAAGAAGTTGTAAAATTGGATTCTCTAACGATCTTTAAGTATATTAAATGAGGATCTTTCTTTGGAATGGTCTTGTAGTATGAAATGTAATTTCTTTAGGAACAGTTCTTTTCTGAAAGATCTTTCTAGTTGCTTTTATTCCTACGATTCCTTGGAAAAGAACATGATCATTCCATTCTCCGATATTAGAATAGTTATTTTCTCTTAGTGCGTGATTGGCCTTTTGTGAATGGCTCACAACTGCTTTTAGCTCTACAAATATTCATTCTAAATCTATACAGTAATAGTTATAGCAAACACTGAGTACTTCTGTGTGCTAGGCATTATGTTCAGTGCTCTATGAATTACATCTCAGTATTAACTCACTTAAATACTTAAATATTTCAAGAGGTTTTGTTTTAAACATGGTCTGTGGTGGATCCATTTTGCAAAGCGAATAATCCTCGTTAAAGAGTTTAGATTTTTACCTACTTGACTCATTTAAGCTAGCGCTTGCCTGCAAATTCTATACAGATAAGCAATTTTTACAAAGCCATTTTAGCTTCATAATGATCAGCTACAATCTATTGAGCAACTAGCATGTGTGAGGCATGCTGCTCGCACTTTACATAAAGCACCTCATTTAATCCTCACGGTAGCCCTAGGACATTAATATTATATCCTTATTTTACAAATAAGAAAGCTACATTTCAGAGAAGTAAGAAACTTGCCTAATATGTGCATGAGCTGGGATTCAAACCTGGGTCTAAACCACCAATCCTACTGTATAAGTAAGGACTTTGTTCTCACCCCAGATCATCTGAGACTATTTCTTTATCCCCTTCAGATAGGGAGATGAGAATGGTTCTCTACATAAAAATCTGAACTGTTCTGGAAAGCATCTCAAAGAGGAAACACACACGACTGCTTGGAGATGGAAATGAAGGTTAATATTTTAGCTGTCTATGCTACGAAGATAGCATCCTGGACCTTAGGGACCGCTTTAGATATTGGGGGGGAATCATAAAGACAGAAACTATGCAACTTGGCACCTTGGACCCTATGAGACGGGCTCCATTCCAGACAGGTCCCTAGGACCTAGGACTGGTCCCCAGGGAAGTGAAAAGGGCACTCGTTCCAGCTGACTTGGTCCCCAAGCCCACCAAGCTGCACTCTGGGATGCTGGCACAGCCCAACACTCAAGAGCAAGGTCAGGTAAATCCAATCAGGGCTCCTCCAGTTCCCTGACAGTCCATATCTGGTTCTTTCTTCCTGTTTCCCAATATGCTGACAAGAGGGATTTTCTGCTCTCCTCCCTTGAATGTTTACACAGAACCTCCCACCCTGGCACCATGTCACTTTGCCAGTAACAACTCACAGAAATGTCTGGGGCAGGAGGAAAAATCTGGACTAAACTCAGTTTTAAACTAGTTTAGAGCAGAGGCTCATTCCTACCCTTGGCCTCAGACCAGTATATGACTGGATACGTAACCAGTTTCTGCTCCTACTGCCTCGTCTATGAAATGGGAAGAGTCGTGTTGTTATTAGTTTATGGAAGCGTTTTAAATAATTATCAGTAAGTTGACTCAAAGTAATCTAGCTATTCTAGATTACACATGTAAATGATAGACGATCATGACTGCCCACGTATTCAGCATTGTTTCAGTGTTACTTTCAATGGTTTTCCTACTGAATTTTATGTGAATACACCTGGGTAAGAAGGTGCTGTAGATAAACGTCTCTAAAGCAATAATCACTCCCTGAGGTTTTTTTCCTCTAGGTACTGCCAGGGGACAAATAACAAAGTCTGCTTCAGCCACAGAGGGTTGGACAGATGGAAACCCCAGAGGACCCTAAACAGAAGCAAGTTTGCACAAATCTGTCCTGGCAAAGTGTCATTTTGGCCCCATGTAAAACAAAACAGGTCCAGTATAAAATACGGAAGGAATGACCAGAACTAATTCGACACCATCCAACACTGCCTTTGATCCCACATCAGCCCTCATTCTTCCCACTGTGCCTTACTCATCCTTTCCCGTGTCTTTAATTGATGTTTGCCTAAAGGAGGGAGTCATTCCTGTCAAGGGAAATGATAACTAAAATTCTATAGTCTGCACAATTCCCCAATAAATACCATGTGATTCATAAAAATAATAATAGCAGTCATAATGAAAAGTGGGAACATGGTTTTCCAAAGGGTTTTGTGGTTCTCCCTCCACCCCTCTTCTTTCCCTACTCACCCCTGCGGGAGTCCATCTGCTGTAGAAAATGTGAAGGGCACTAGGACCAGAGAGCCCTTTCCTGCCATTCGCTTGAGAAACAAAGCCTTCCCTCCTCCCAAGTGGAAAGAAAGAAAGGAGTCTGAACTAATCAAAACCTGCAAGCCTGCTGGTGGAGCTTCAGCTTGTCAGTGATGCAACTCAGCGGAGTGAGTAGCGGCTTCGAGCTTTGCAGAAAATGAAGAGAGGGAGAGAAACAGAGACAGAAACACAAAGAGAAAGAAAGAAAGGCATTAACCTGGCCAGGAGTTAAACAGGTGCATGGAGCCCGAACGCTGAGAAGAGCGTCTGACACATAGAGGGGCCAACTGCATGTGCCTCAGTGGGGTTGCTTCTTTATTTACGGGGGCAGGGCTCTGGCCTGGTGTCAGGGCTGTACCGAGAGATCTTTTCCCTATTCACAGGACTCAGAGGCTTGGCCAAGAGCCTTTAGCTTTTCTCTACTTGCCCACGTGAAGTCTGTGTACACTTTCTGGCTCTCCACGAGGAATTCTCTCCACGACAGAGAGAGAAGGCCAGCTCGTTTGCCACATGCACATCCACCAGGAGCCACAGATTTTGGTGGTGCCTCTGGAATAATGGGTGTGTGAGCACTGGGGACGCCATGTTGAGAGCGACCACAGTGTGCTGGATGGTTCGTGGAGAGGCTACCTCAGTCTGGAATTGGCTGCTCAGAGGCCAACTCGGCCTTTTAAAAGACTCTTCCAGGCCTCACCTCACTTCAAATGACTAGCTTCTGAGAAGGATCTTAAGTTTGCTGGTGCTCTCTCTCAGAACCAGCCGGCCTGGACTTCTGGGGTTTAAGAGGCTCTAGAAATGGAAGGCTGTGCCATCAGTCTATAATCTGGTTTACAGGCAGATGTTAAGAAAAGAAAGGAACACAAGCAGAGGAAGGCCTGGCATAAGACCCTCAGGAGAAGGCCCCAGTTGAGACAGTGCCCACCAAAGGGGATACGATTCGGCAGGACTAAAACTGGGTGGCATTAAATAGCATCTTAAGAAAATTATGCCATCTCTGGTGGATTTTTAGTCTCTCAATTTAAAATGTTCAAGTACATGATAGCCCTATAATTCAGAAGACCCGGTCTGCCGCTGTCATACCCTTGCCCCCACGCCTCCGAGAGAGAGTTCCTGTGAGCCTTGGCCCATTCTATGACCCCAGCCCCACCCCTGCACAGGAGGGGGTTTTCACTTAAAGTGTGGTCTTTACCTGAAATGCGCCTGGGCACGTCGGTGATGGCAGGAAGCCCCGTGCCCCGTGTGGAAGACAGCGGGGTGGTGGAGTGTATGGATGGGGACGTCATCTGGCTCAGGTAGGAGGGGTAAGACTGGTCATAGGACCACGGCGGGGAAGACTGGGCCTGCCTGGGGTCTAGGAAAAAGAAGAAAAATCTTTAGTGTACCAGCCAACTGTGGACTTAGAACATGCAACCCCAAACTGAGAAAGGAGAAAGTAAGAGAAAAGCAAGCATCTGTAAGGAGTATTCATTTCCTATGATCCTACCCTTTCAGGCCCTGTATGGCACCAAACTTTTGAGACCTCCAACCTCCAGCACAACAACATGGATCGTGTATAAAGACTATTTCTCCCTCATATAAGTATTTCTATTTGGAAAGTCTAACACCCATTTATTTATTTACTTTTGAAATTTACTTATTTATTTTGAGAGAGAGTGCATGTGTGAGCCAGGGAGGGGCAGAGAGAGAGGGAGAGAGAGATTCCCAAGCAGGCTTCAAGCTGTCAGCGTGGAGCCCAACTCGGGGCTCCAACTCCACAGGGCTTGAACTCACAAACCCGTGAGATCATGACCTGGGCCGAAATGAAGAGTCAGACGCTTAACTGACTAAGCCACCCAGTCGCCCCTCTAACAGCCATTTAAAAAAACAATCTGCTCCAGTTATCTTTACAAAGTTGAATTCGCCTTGATTTATTTTCTGTATTTACTCATGTTACTTCAATGAACACATATTACTCCTAATTTTCTTTTAAGTTAGAAATTCTTTGGAACAATCAACTTAGTTAAAGAACAGGTAGACTGGACTTTTCCCTGCTGCACATCCAGCTGCTATCTTTCAGACATGCATTTTGGTTTATTTTTTTTTATTTATTTATTTTTTTTTTTTTTAATTTTTTTTCAACGTTTATTTATTTTTGGGACAGAGAGAGACAGAGCATGAAAGGGGGGAGGGGCAGAGAGAGAGGGAGACACAGAATCGGAAACAGGCTCCAGGCTCTGAGCCATCAGCCCAGAGCCCGACGCGGGGCTCGAACTCCCGGACCGCGAGATCGTGACCTGGCTGAAGTCGGACGCTTAACCGACTGCGCCACCCAGGCGCCCCTGCATTTTGGTTTATAAATGCATGATTCCATGACTTCACTTTCTTTCCAGGCAGGTCAAAGGATAGCACTTTCTAGCAGGGGGGTTAGAGGTAAGGGGTGGAGATGAGAAAGGAGGGAGCAGCATGTAAAAAGAACACAAAGAAGGGGAGCCAGTTAGTTATATGGTTCTCATGCTAAAGCTACCCTAGAAAATAACCTTTAAGAAAGAGACAAACTTAATTTCTAAGTCACCTGCCATTAAGAACTGAAACACTTCATCACCATCCAGTTTTGGTGTTAAGCATATGAGTTTCTGACCAAAAAAAAAAAAAAGACCCAAAACAGAAGAGCAGGGAGATGTCTTTAATCCTATTGGAATCTGTTTAGAAGATGTCACATGTTTGGAATACAGCCTAGTGTTACCTATAGTCACTGTAATAGTAAAAATGGGTGGCCACTTGTTAGGGTTAACTGCTAAGCATTATCAGTATGTTTTTATGTATTTCTATGGGGTTTCTTGGAGGTACAAGCTCAAGTACCAAGTACAAGCCAAGTAGATTTATCAAAAGAGTTTCAGTCTACACAAGAAAAAAAGGTAAATTTGTTGTATATTTCCCATGTATATTTCCACCTGTTTTATTCTTACTGGAGGGCTAATCAAACAATCAAAAGCAAATTTCTCTTAACATTTTTTTTACTAATTGTAAATTTTTTTTCTAATATTAAAAATTCTAACACACCAATTTAAAAATTCTAATACACTGGTTCACAAGACAACATTGTCTTGTGGACTTTGGAATGTGCAGATCCAGGTTCAAGTTCTGAGACTTCCATTTTCTAGCTGTGTGATCTTCGGTTAATTACTCAGCAACTCTGAGCCTCACTTTCCTCATCTGTAAAAGAGGGTGAGGGAGTAATAATCTCTGAATCACAGGGATGTGACAACTACATGAGAAAACCAGGGAGAGAGGAGTAGCACAAGGAGACACTCAGTACTGATTCTTGCCTTCTTCTAAAAAACCTCTTGGTGACACAAGAATAGTCCCACAGTTAAGACACATCTGAACTGACATTAATACATTTGGATTAGGCTTGAAATTACTCCCATATCACCTATCAGCTTCTGACAATGAAAGCTTAATTTTTTTAAGTTTATTTATTTATTTTGAGAGAGACAGAGACAGCATGAGCAGAGGAAAGAGAGAGGGGCGGGGGGAGAGAATCTCAAGCAGGCTCTATGTCAGCAGAGAGAGGGATATGGGGCTCGAACTCATGAAACCACAAGATCATAACCTAAGCTGAAACCGAGCGTCAGATGCTTAACTGACTGAGCCACCCAGGAACCCCCAAAAACTTAATTTTTTAAAACTATTAATATGTTTGAATAGTCAATTCAGGCTTATCTCTAAAAATAAAAAGGAGTACAACAAGACATGGGTATTTCTGAAATGATCCCTCTTTTAGAGACTCTCAGCTCTCCCATACAATTAAAGCCTGTCAGTTTCAGCTATTTCTTGTTTATTTGTTCAATTCAGAAACAATTTATTTAAAGGCTGTCTAAATAGGACATACTGAGTCAAAATAATTAAATACATCTGGATATTCATCTGATGCTTACTACATCAACAGACAGAAAAATTTCATCCAATTCCATTTTAGGGAACATTTACCTGAGTTTGCAATTTGAAAAAAAGTATAGTACCGTAAATGGTTAACATAAACTTTTCCTTCAGAAATCTAAAGGGGACCTGATCATTAAAGTAATGAACTTTTGTGCTTTAACAGGTTCAAGGCTGAGACTGTATAGATTGGCAACATTTCAAATCAGAGTGAGTGGTCCTTGTTATATATCTGATACTGACATACTTCCTCGCTTCAACCATTAATGTAATTCATTGCATTTCAGAAAAACGTAAATGACCTTCAGATGGAAAAAGATGCATTCCTTACAGCACCAGAAAGCAATCTCATAACGGCAAGGCCTTCTCTGAAGCCACATTTTCTACAGACAAAAAGGACAAGAATCACACAGATAAATGAGCTGGGCACACAGGACTCTGATTTGGACTGGAGTCCTAATCTGTCTTTACCAGATGACTCCCAGAGTAAGTAGGTTAACCTGTATGCCCATTCCTCTACTGCAACATGCTGTCAGCAGTAGGATAGGACTCCCTGCCTAAAAATGGGGAAAAATACAAAGAAATGTAAAGAATGACTGAAACTATTTATGTTTAAACGTATCACAGAAGCCTTAGGGAACTTAATTTGGATACAAGATGCAGCCTTTCAGTTCTTGTGCAGAGGGGCAGCCGAGCACAGGGGGAATAAGTGGGGTTTCTAATGCAAGGATAGGAGCTGGAGCCCCAGTTCTGCTTTCTATAAGCCGCATGACCTCAGCGGTGTTAGCGAACTCTCTGAACCTCAGTTTCCTCATCTGGAAATGAGGGAGCATAACATGCCAGTGAATGTAGCAAAATGGTCATATGCACTGGCTGGGTAGACAAGCCCCCTACCTGGCTGAGCAAGTCACTTCTCTCGGGCCTCAATAGCTCATTTGTAAAATGCGAATAATGATGCTCATTAGGTTTGCTGTGAGCCTTTCACAAACGTGCCTTGATGTGGTGAGTTATCTGGCAGTCTTGGTATGCATTAAGTGAGTAATAAACAGAGGAGTGATTACTGTAAAGTGAGTATGATAGGAACTACTATCATTTTTGTTATAAAATTAAATGAGATAATGTAACTAAAAGCATTTGATACCTCTCAATTTTTGCTATATTAAAATTAGGACTCTTCTCTTGAGGAGCTCACATGGTCAAGGCCCTGCTGCGTGACAAGAGGCATGTTTCTTAATGTTACTAAGCTTTAATCTCTTCACCTGTAAAATGGGTATGATAATACTATCCCAGAGTTGTTGTAAGGATTAAATAATATACAGTGAGTGGCAAATCATCACTATCATTCAAAAAAATTAAAAATCTGACTCCAAACTACCCAGGGTGGTTGGGCTGTCTAGCGTTGTTCTTTAAGTTTTCCAAAGTCAGACTCAACACAATTCATTATGATGCCCGGAACACAGTAAGTGCTCAGTAAACAAACATGGACTGAACCTCCCAGGGTGGCATGAGTGAAGAATGAAATCTTATAATGAATTAGTAATTAGTCATTCTTTAACTTCCCATCAGGCTATACAAGAAGTTGTATCAGTGAGGTTTTAATTTTTACATAAAGGCCCTGACTTCCAAAACTTATACTAGAACAGTCCATTAAAGGACAGTTTGGCTTTTAGTGGAGATCCTTCCCGAAGATACCCAAGATTAGCAAAAATAACATCTCACTATCCTTAACAAGTGAGGTCTCTCTTTGGTTTTTTTGTCTCAGAGGGCACATTGCAGAGTCCAGCTGATTTCTTTCAAGGTCACTGTCCTCAGAGTCTATGATAATGACCTACTTAAGGAGAGAGAGTTACTACAGAAAAAATAAAAGAACTACCATGTGGGGTCACTGTATTTAATATAAATAGTTTTAAAAGGGGTGCCTGGGTGGCTCTCTCTGCCCCTCCCCCACATGCTCTCTCTCTCCAATAAATAAACTTTAATAATAACGATAATTTGAAAAGTGGACAGCAGTCTCTTTAAAAAAAAAAAAAAAAAAAAAAGTAATGGTCCCAAAATATCCCAGGCCTTCTCTAACACCCTGTGAATGATATCATCAATCCCAGCTCCACTATTTCTGGCCTTGTGTGATCTTAACTGATCCAATCTTCAAGTTTCCTAGTCTGTATAATGGAGATAAATAAGTACATCTTCTTTCTACAGTTGTTATCAAGACAAAGTAGTAAAGAGTGAGCACACGGAAAGAACCCAACAAACGTTCAACACTGTTAAAACCTCTACCTTGACTGAATCTTCACTGTGTATTTATGTTTCCAGCTCATAATCTCTTATTCTAGTGGAGGACAATTCTTAGGAAGCTTCTACGGTTTTGAAGTCCAGTATTTGGAGAATATATCCATGTTGGTCATGCCAATATCCTTTCCAAACATTTAACCT